AAAAAAAAAAAAAAAAAAAAAAATGGTAATGTACATAGTAAATTCTCTAGAATCCAGAAAGGTTACTAGAGCTAGTAACTAAATTAGCAAGGCTGCAAGATACAACATCAAATATAAATATCTATTGTATATCTATATGCTAGCAATGTACAACTGGAAAATAAACTTTCTAAAAATACCACTAATATACAAAATGGAAATAGGTAGGGATAAATTTTTAAAGATATGGGCAAAACCTCTAAGATGAAAATTATAAAACATTGCTGAGGGCAACTAAAGAAGACCTAAATACTTACATTGACATATTGTTAGGATGTCAATTCTTCCCAAATTGATGTATAGCCTCAATGGAGTTCCAATCGTAACCCTAGTATGCTTTGTTCATAGAAATGTATATGCTAATTATAAAATATATATGGAAAAGCAAAGTAAGATAATCAACACAAGTTTTAAAAAGAACAAAGTTAGAGGCCTCTCACTGACTGATTTCAAGGTTTCTATAAAGCTACAGTAATCAAAGTAATGTGGTATTGTCATAAGGAAATGCAAATAGATCAATGCAACAACACAGAGAGCCCAGAACTTAACCCACTCGTATACCGTCAATTGATTTTTTTTTAAAATTATTATTTACTTATTTGGCCACACTGGGTCTTAGTTGTGGCAGGCGGGCTCCTTAGTTGTGGCAGGTGGGCTCCTTAGTTGCAGCTCAAGGACTCCTTAATTATGGCTCATGGGCTCCTTTATTGTGGCATGTGAACTCTTAGTTGAGGCATGCATGTGGGATCTAGTTCCCTGACCAGGGATCAAACCCAGGCCTCCTGCACTGGGAGTGTGGAGTCTTAACTACTGTGCCACCAGGGAAGTCCCTGGTCAGTTGATTTTCAATAAAGCTGCCGAGGTAATTCAATGGGGAAAAGAGTAGTCTTTTTTATTTTTTCTTCCAGTTTATTGAAATATAATTGACATACAGCACTGTATAGGTTTAAGGTGTACAGGATAATGATCTGATTTACACACATCAGGAAATGAATACCACAGTAAGATTAGTGAATAGCCATTATCCTACATAAAATTAAAGAAATAGGGAAAAACATTCTTCCTTGTGATGAAAAACCAAAGATTTGAAAAATATCAGGATGGTGGTTGCCTACCATGGAAAAGGGCAGGTGGGCGGGGGGGGGAACTTCCCTGGTGGCGCAGTGGATGAGAGTCCACCTGCCGATGCAGCAGACACGGGTTCGTGCCCCGGTCCGGGAAAATCCCACATGCCGCGGAGCGGCTGGGCCCGTGAGCCATGGCCGCTGAGCCTGCGCGTCCGGAGCCTGTGCTCCGCACCGGGAGAGGCCACAACAGTGAGAGGCCCGCGTACCGCAAAAAAAAAAGAAAAAAAGAAAAGGGCAGGGGGGAGTTTTGTGGGGTGATAGAAATGTTCTCTCTCAATAAGGGTGTCAGTTACACTGGTGAATGCATTTGTCAAAGTCCTTTGACCTCCGATCCATACGCTATGTGTGTAGGCTTTACGTAAACTACACCTCAATAAAAATTATTAACAAACTGCTACCCCCAAATCTCCTACATATGTGGAAATGTAAAATAATATATATATGCAGAAATGTAAAATAATTCATAATGAAATAGATTATTTGGAATTGACAACGAAAGCACTACTTATCTTAGAAGTAAACAAGGCAATCAATGTTTAAAGGGAAATGTATCATCTTAAATGCACACGTGAGAAAACATGAAAGACTGAAAGTTAATTAGCTAAGGAGTCACCTCTAGGTGTTAGAACAGAGTAAACCCCTTTATTACTTAAAAAAAAGGCAGTAAGAATTTACATCTGCTTCTACTAGGTACCTAGGCAAGCTACCAGTCTGAGATCACTTTGCTTCTGAAGCTTAAGGCTGTGGGCCCCCCAACCTGAGCTACAGATCCCTGTAAGGCAGGGTTTCTGCTACAGTGTCTCAAGTAAGCCTCCCACATCCCAGCACTATTCTGTATCGAGTTAACCTTCCTTATAACCCCCTGCTGTGGTTGGGACAGGCAAATGTAACTTTGCTGCCTCTTACCCTGAGGACATAGCCTTTGGGTTCCGGTTTTAAGGGACAATGGCTTCCTATTATATTCCCAACTTTGTACAGACCCTGGTCTTTACCTTCTTCCATGTATTATGAGGCCATCAGCTGAGCTCCAGTTCACCAGGTTGGCAAATGCCTCTAGCGCTCTTCTTACTTTCCCTCAGATTTTAATTCCTTATTTATAGTGACGATAACTCTTTTATTTGCAGCAAATCTTTACTATCTTGTCAGCTCTTCAATGATTTACTCAGATAGTGTTCTTTTTTAACAGTTTTTATTTCTTTAATGTTGTATCTATTTTATTCATTTTTGGCTGCGTTGGGTCTTCATTGCTGCGCATGGGCTTTCTCTAGTTGTGGCGAGCGGGGGCTACTCTTTGTTGCAGTGCGCGGGCTTCTCACTGTGGTGGCTTCTCTTGTTGCGGAGCACGGGCTCCAGGCACGCCGGCTTCAGTAGTTGTGGCATGCGGACTCAGTAGTTGTGGCGCACGGGCTTAGTTGCTCCGAGGCATGTGGGATCTTCCCGGACCAGGGCTCGAACCCGTGTCCCCTACTTTAGCAGGCAGATTCTCAACCACTGCACTCCCAGGGAAGCCCCAGATAGTGCTTTCATTTTATCCAGCATTTTAGTCGTTTTCAGTGGAAGACCTGATCCCAATCACACATCTGGCCATATTCTCAAACCAGGGAGGCACTCAGAAAAGCACAAGTACAAAGAAAAATATAGATAATTTTAAGTGCCAGCATGATGAACCTGCATGATAAAAGACACCATGAGGGAATTCCCTGGCGGTCCAGTGATTAGGGCTCAGCGCTTTCACTGCCGAGGGCGCGGGTTCAATCTCTGGTCAGGGAGCTAAGGTCCTGCAAGCCACACAGCATGGACCAAAAAAAAAAAAAGACACCAAAAACAAGGTGAAAAGATACAGCACAGCCCAGAAGAATATACATACTTTAACACAGGTAATAGGCTTAAAGATTATAATTCAGAATTTACAAAGAGCTCATCCACTTCAACATGGAAAGACAAACCACCCCAAAGAGGCAAAAGAGACTCACTGAAGGAAATCTGAGTGGCCAATAAACATATAAAAGATGTCCAACCTTACTGTCGACTGGGTGTGCTAGACATGTCATTTTTTGACCATACCGCACCTGCGTCTTCCGCCCATGTTTGGGGAATCACCTCCTTTGAGACTGTCCTCCTACCACGTGCGGGTAAACTGTCAGACACTCAGCCCCAGCTGCACCCAGCCGCGCTGACGTGAAGCAGGGCGCTGAGGCCGAGCGGCCTGCACGACCTGCCTCGCACAGCGAAGCGGGGTGGAGGCTGGGGGCTTCCACCAGCATCCAGGGGCTGCTGTCAGTGGTGCTGGGGTGCCAGCTCCGACATCTGGGACCCTGCGTTGTCTTCATGCTGTCGTCACTGCCAGCTCTTGGCCTGATCTGCACACTTCTGTCTGCTCAGCTTTAAGCCTGGTTTCCCAGCCCTCCTGGAGATTTTAGCTGCTTTTAATAATTTCCTTTTCTGCTTAAATCAGAAATCTACTTATATCAGGGAAATGCAAGTTCAAACAACAGTGAGATGGATACTCCTTCATGCACAGGAGATGAAAAGAAACAGAAATACCCCTACACTGCTGGAGGGAGTACAAATTGATGTAGATGCTTTGGAGGACAATTTGTTAATGTCTAATAAGTTGGAATGCAGACACCTTATGACCCCGAGATTCCTCTTCTGGTCATATCCTCTAAACTATCGCTGGGGGTGACAAATGCAAGTCGCTTCATTGCAGAACACACACACACACACACACACACACACACACACACACACACACCCACCCCCCTACTTTGATATCCACGTGGAATGAATGATAAATTGCAGTATATTCACACAATGCATGAACTAGAGCAGTATGTGCCAAGATGGATAGATCTTGAAAACATCCTTTTGGATGTTGCAGGTTATGCATAATATACCACTGGTGTACATTTAAAGACATAACACACACAGAGAGAAGAGGGTGGGTAAAACAGGAAATCTGAATAAAACAGGTGAACTGTACCAACGTCTACATCCTGGCTGTGATATTATACTACAGTTTTGCATCATTAGGAGAAACTGGGCAAAGTGTTTTAGTTCTTACAACTGCATGTGAATCCACAATTAAATCAATAACAATTGCATTAAAAGATACCGAACAATGTATGTATTACTTTTAGATAGATACGTGATGGCTTCTTCTGGGGTGGGGAGGGGGGAGAAGATGAAATTTAGGAGAGACAGAAAGGGGACTTCAAATCTTTTTTTTGTTCCTTAGAAAGAAAAATCTTTTTTTTAAGATAAGTCAGTTTATTTTTTATTTTATTGTTTGTTTTTTGACCGCACCAGGCGGCATGTGGGATTTTAGTTCCCCGACCAGGGATCAAACTTGAGTCCCCTGCATTGGTGGTCTTAACTACCGGACCGCCAGGGAAGTCCCAGAAAGAAAACTCTTGAGGCAAATATGGCAAAATGTTAACATTTAAAAATCTGGATGTAGGTGAATGGGTGTTTATATACTACTCTGTACTTTTCTTTGAGTTAAAAAATGCTGAAAAGATTAAATGAGACAAATTTACAAAGTACTTAAGGTAGTGCCTGGCTTGTAGTAGGCACTCTTGATAATTACTGATACCACGAGTCAAGGAGGGGAAGGTTTGTCATAGCTCCAGAGAAGTATCCTTTTCTCAGCTCATCCCCCAGTTCTTCCCTCCTGCTCAGGGTTACAGCATCACAAATTCCACTTTCCAATTCTTATCACCCTCTTCTCAAAGGACCCCAGTGAAAGAATCCACCTCAAAAAAAGGGAGATGGCCCAACACAGTTTAGTGGAGCACAGCCTCTGAAGCCAGGAGGCTGGCTGGACCGCCTCCACCCCGGTGGGGATACCAGCATCCCTGCCTCGGGGGTTGTCCTGAGGACTAAGTGAGCACTTGCTACAGGGCCTGGCAGCTGGGCTCAGTTACCGCAGGACCGGCCAGGACCAAGGCAGACACGCTGCCCGCTCCATGGACCCCACGATCTTGTGTCAAAGTCAGGGTTCCTGACCTAGTTCACAGCTAGGAAGCAGCTCAGAGAAGACGGATAACTCGCCCAAGGTCTCGTGGAGCTGAACACGGACTCTGACTCCTGACTGCGCCCCCATTGGAAGCTTAGCCTTGGTGAAGGCGGAGGTGGGCTCTGTCAAGAGATTTGGGGGATCTGGGCCATATGTGACCCTTCGACTCCATCTTTCAGCCCCGTTCAGATACAATACCCTGGAGAAATGACTGCGAAACTCACCTGAGAGAAAAGTGCTTCCTGGGCTTCCCACAAGGTTAGCAACTGAATAAGGAAACCCCCGTTACCTGGACCGAAAAGGGTGGGCCGAGAGCGCCACCTGCAGGCGACTCGTCTCTCCGCCGACTCGAGTTCTTCCCGCGATCCCGACAAATCGCCCCTCCAGCGGGAGCATCAACCTCCCCACCCCTCCCCACGCAGCGCCCACTTCTGGCTTCCCAGGTCTCAGCTCAGACGTGTCCTCTTCAGAGGGCCCTCCGTCTGGGGCTGCCTTCATTCTGCCCCGTCAGCTTCTGTAACAATAAATGCGCTTTATCCCCCACTGCCACGCAACCACTACCCATCTGTCCACTGTCCGTCTCCCCAGCCAGAGTGGCAGCTCCGTGCGGGCAGGGAGGGACCTTAACTCAGCAACTCGGACAGGCCTGCCTCTCGATGAATACTTACTGAATTCACTGCATACAATGTGGTATACATTTTTCCAGTGCCTATACTAATGCTCACTTATTTCTATTTGAAAAAACAAAAATGGGATATATTGCACATATGATTTTGCTACTTGATGTTCTCCTTTAACAAACGTGCCTTTGACTGAATCTGAAACCCTTATGAGAGGGCGGTCTGCTAACCAGCCTAGCTCCACTCATGCATGCATGCATGCATCCATCCATCCATCCTATTTAGGGAGCACGTACCCCCTCGCCATCCAGCACGGCACACACCAGCCACAGGTAGCTAGTATAACTGGGGAACTGAAGTTTTCATTTTATTTCCTTTAAATTGATTTAAATTTAAAAGCCATACTCATTCAGCTATTGGAAAACTTTCAAGTATGTTTGGAACGATTTGGGTATATAAATCTACCTTTTCAACTGTAAATTTTATGAAATCAAAATACAGATCAACTATTTCGATGAAAATTTAGTGATTGAATTGAGAAGTGCAGTAAGTAAGGTACGTGTTGGACTGCCAGGACTTCAAATGAAAAAAAAGAATGTAAAAATACCTCAATGATTTTAATATTAGTTATATGTTAAAGTAATACTATCTGAACACGTTGGGCTAAATGAAATACAGTACTAAAGTTGACTTTACCTATTCTTTTTACGCTTCCAAGGTGGTCACTAGACAGTTCTAAAATTATAATACATATATGGCTCACATTGTATTTTTATTGGACAATGTGCTGGGATCTACTCTGTTCTGGGAGTGAGACAGGCCATCACTCAAAATCAAACTTCACAAAAAGGTCAATGTTAACACAAAGAGTTCTCTACATCTATGCCCAGCCAAGGTATCACAGCCTTTATTTATTAACTTATTCATTCGTTCATTTATTCAATCATTTGTTCTTTCGGCAGACATCTCCAAATGCCGTGTCAAGTCCTAGAGCTCCTAGAAAAAAACTGCTGTGCTTGTTCCCAGTCTTCCCTGAGTTTAGGAGGTTTTCTCATCTTTCTTGTTCACTGGCGTTAACATTTTACCTGACATGCTTCATCACTTGCAATCCTTATTTATACATTTGAGAGTAAGTTGCAAGCATCCCAGCCTTTTACCTCGAAATACTTCTGGATGTAGGATGATTTATTTATTTACTTAGCTGCTCCAGATCTTAGTTGTGGCATGCATGATCTTTAGTTACAGCATGCGGGATCTTAGCTGAGGAATGCAGGATCTAGTTCCCTGACCAGGGATCAAACGTGGGCCCCCTGCATTGGAAGCTCGGAGTCTTAACCACTGGCCCACCAGGGAAGTCCCAGGGATGTTCTTTTATATCACCTAGTACAGCTATCAGCTTCAGCAAATTTAACCCTAATAATATATCTGATCTAATCTACTGTTCATATTCCAATGTTGTCAGTTTCACCAATTGACTCAATAATGTCCTTCAAAGTATGTTTCCCTCCAGTACAGGACCCAGCCAAGATCAGGCACTGGAATTAGCTGTCATGTCTCTCTAATCCCTCAGTCCCTTTGAAGCAGGTATTTCTTTCCCATTTTACAGGTGAGTAAACTGTGGCCACAGAAGCATAAAGATCCATCCATCCCAGTCATTCACCGGGTTAGTAGCCTAGCTGCTGTAACTTGTCCTGGTCAGCCACTGGACTCTAAACGTCCAGTACTGAGCTACAGCCTCTTAACTACGATATCACTATAAGAATTTCAAATTTACACACAGCGATGGTAGGAACTTTCTTCTGGGGTCTCCACAGAAAAAAGCTGACCCGGTTACATACCTATCATTGGAAAAAATTTCACACCATCTTGTAAAGTTGAAGAGGCCCCTACCCTGGAACCATCCATTCCAGTCCTAGGTATATTACTCAGTCTTCAGATAAACTCTTGCACATGTGTAAGAATGTTCTTACCAGCATTGTGTGCAACACCAAAAACCTGCAACAACTCGCACTTCCACCGACCATTAAAGGATAAAGAAACTAGAATGTAGTCTACAATGGAATGCTATTCAGCAGAGAAAATAAATCACCTGTAGCTTTGTACATGAAAATGAATTAATCTTATAAACATAATGGGAAAAAAGTGCAAATTCCAGAATCATACATACAAATAAGATTGACAAACATGCATTGTTGTTTGGCAATATATATATATATACACACACATATATATATATGCTAAATGTATATTTTTATATTATTTATGCATACTAAATATATATGTTTACCATGACTGTTTTTCTTTATAGATTTATAATTTTACTATATATAGTATTTCATTCCATATATAATATACATATTATAATTTATATATACAAATTTTGTATAACATAAAATATACATTCACTATAGTGTTTTATCTATATTTTCTGTATATTTTACTATATATTTAACTATATATTTATCTATATATACTATATATTTACTATATATAGTATTTATCTATATATATTTTATAACCATATCTTGAATACTACAAATACTATAATAGACATACAAAATATATTATTTATATGATAATTTTATTATTTATATAATAAGTACTATATAAAATACTATATAAAGATAAAATATTTTCTATATATATAGTAAAATTACACATCTATAAAGAAAGACAAGGGCATGAGAAACATAAAATTTATTGCCATTTCTACACAGTTTCAAAATGTTTTAACAATTAGAATCATACATATATGGAATCCCCCAAGGTCAGGCTGCCTGTGAAATTCTAGCACCCTGAGGACCACGGTTTGAGAACCATGGGGCTGGCAGCCATCTAAGATTCTGTCCACTGAGGTTCTGTTCTTTCTAACTCGATAGAAAAATCACAAAGAAAATGCAAATCTATTCTAAAAACCCAGCTTCTCTCCAAAATGTATACACACACAAAGCAATTTTGCAAACAGAAACTTGGACGGTACCCTGCTGTTTCTCAATTTTCCCTCCTAAATCACTTGCTTTGTTTTTGTTTATTTTCTTTTCCCACCATTTAGATTCCTCCTCCCCCAAATCTGTGGTGCCTGGGTTGGGGAAAGAGGAGAGGCTGACCTGCAAAGAGGCGTGAGGAAACTTTGGGACCATGACATGCTCTGAGTCCTGACCGACCACGGGGCCATGGTTTCCTGGATGCAACTGTGTATCTGTCAAAGTTCCTGCAAGCTGTTTGCAGATACGGGGTTCGGAGCCCAGCATGCAGCATGTCCTCATAACCTGGGTTCCCCACCTGGCAGCACTTCAAACACAGCAGTGGGGCTGCCATCCACACAAGACCAACAGGAAGACCCTCCCTGACTTGCCTTTTTGATTTGTCTCCTTTCCACCTCATGTTAGGGGAACACGGCATCATTTCCCACATGGATGACTGACGAGAATAAGCTACGATGGGTGCCGTTCTGCGTTTTCCCCAAGACCTCCCTGTCTGTGTTCCTCCGATTTCCTCGGGTCAACCTTCCACAACCACGGCCAGGAGCAGGCGTGCCTCTCACCCAAACGCCACAACCACAAAAGAGCAGGCTAGCTGGATAAGTGTAGGCGAAATCAGGCCATCAGAGCTACTAATGAATGCCATGTCCTGGGCACTCACGATGTGCAAAGATCTCATTTCTTCCTTTTTCTAAATCATGATAAAACTGACAACAAGCCTCCACGCACCTGGCTAAGATGAAATTCAATTTTACATTTTTGGGGCTGTTTGTTTTTTCAAGGGCGGTCCTTCAGGCTGTTAAGTTTGGGCCACAGTGCTGGCAAACCCACCCAGGCTGGCCCCTGGCTGGGAGGTGAGGTGGGGAGGCTGGGCCTCTGCTCACACCATTACCAGTCAGTCCACTCCAGCCCAGCAGGGTTCCCGAGACTCTGCTCAGGCTGCTAGGCTGCAACAAAGCTGCCCAACACCCACGAGCCACCCCGCTGGAGAGCCTGACACCTTGAGACCTCCAAGGGCCATCCTAGGTCTCTGCTGCCTCATCCACTGCCCTCCAGGCTCAGGGACTGGGCACTCCCAGGTCTGAGCCTCCTTCTAAAAACCAGGAGCAAGAGGACAGACAGCAGAAGCAAGAAGAACTACAGTCCTGCAGCCTGTGGAACAAAAACCACATTCACAGAAAGACAGACAAGATGAAAAGCAGAGGACTTTGTACCAGATGAAGGAACAAGATAAAACCCCAGAAAAACAACTAACTGAAGTAGAGATAGGGAACCTTCCAGAAAAAGAATTCAGAATAATGATAGTGAAGATGATCCAGGACCTTAGAAAAAGAATGGAGGCAAAGATCGAGAAGATGCAAGAAATGTTTAACAAAGACCTAGAAGAATTAAAGAACAAAGACCTAGAAGAATTAAAGAACAAACAAACAGAGATGAACAATACAATAACTGAAATTAAAAATACACTAGAAGGAATCAATAGCAGAATAACTGAGGGAGAAGAATGGATAAGTGACCTGGAAGACAAAATGGTGGAATTCACTGCTGCGGAACAGAATAAAGAAAAAAGAATGAAAAGAAATGAAGACAGCCTAAGAGACCTCTGGGACAACATTAAACCTAACAACATTCGCATTACAGGGGTCCCAGAAGGAGAAGAGAGAGAGAAAGGACCCGAGAAAATATCTGAAGAGATTAGAGTCGAAAACTTCCCTAACATGGGAAAGGAAATAGCCACCCAAGTCCAGGAAGTGCAGACAGTCCCATACAGTATAAACCCAAGGAGAAACATGCCAAGACACATAGTAATCAAATTGGCAAAAATGAAAGACAAAGAAAAATTATGGAAAGCAGCAAGGGAAAAACAACAAATAACATACAAGGGAACTCCCATAAGGTTAACGGCTGATTTC